GTACCAAGGAGGTAGAAATACGATGTCAGGTTTGAGGACATCTTTGGAAGTAAACGGTGATGGGGTTTTATTTGATGTCGCAAAGGAATCTCAGAGCTTGACAGGTGTTGCCACATTTGGTACAGGTCTTCAGAATGAAGTTGGTGAATACAATTGCTTTTTGAATGTCATTATACAGGTACCCTTCTTTCTCATAAACTGATTGATTTCTCGGGTGTCAATGTCTATAACATCCAGACTGACTGCTGAATACTATTTTTTTGTTTGTTTTGTTTTGATCTCAGTCTTTATGGAATCTGGGGCTGTTTCGGGCTGAGTTCTTGCGGAGTTCAACACTAGAGCACCATCATGTGGGAGATCCTTGTGTTGTCTGCTCATTGTATGATATTTTCACTGCTTTAAGCGCTGCTTCGAGTGAAACACAAAAAGAACCTGTTGCACCTTCATCTCTCAGGATTGCACTAAGTAACTTGTATCCAGATAGCAGTTTCTTCCAAGAGGTAAAGAAAATTGATCTCTTTTAAATGTTTTTATCCTTATACAAAGTAAGCTTTTTGCCTAAACTTGGGCGTCATATGGTGGACAGGCTCAGATGAACGATGCTTCAGAAGTATTGGCTGTGATTTTCGACTGCCTTCATCACTCATTTGCTCAAAGCTCAACCGTGTCTGACACAGACTCTTCTGAGAGCAACTGCACGGGTTCGTGGGACTGTGCCAACCGCACATGTCTTGTCCATTCTCTGTTTGGAATGGATATTTTTGAGCAACTGAATTGCTACAGCTGTGGACTAGAGTCTAGGCATATGAAGTACACTTCCTTCTTCCATAACATCAACGCTAGCGCCCTACGCAGCATGAAGGTATCACACGACTGTTTATTACACTTTTAAAATTTCACACATTTTTGTTAGATAATTCACTGTGGTTCTGCCCCTACTGTATGCCCAACAGGCTGCATTTGCTGAGAATTCGTTTGACGAACTTCTAAACCTTGTCGAGATGAACCACCAACTAGCATGTGACCCCGAAGCTGGTGGGTGTGGGAAACAGAACCATATACACCATTTTCTCACCAATCCACCACAAGTTTTCACTACAGGTAAAATGTTTCTTTTGGCAAGGTATCTAACGATTGTATGCTTTTTCAGAACACTAAATATTTGTGTATTGCGTTTTGGGGTTGACAGTTTTAGGGTGGCAAAACACGTGTGAGAGTGTAGAAGACATAGCAGCCACTCTTGCAGCCTTGGATACCGAGATAGACATCAGCATCATGTACCGCGGTCTGGAGCCTAAGAGCATATACAGCTTAGTTTCCGTGGTACGCATTTGTTTGTGTTTTCCCTGTTTGCATATAACCTTATAAAACTCCTGGCCTCTCATAATCTAACGTTGTTCTTCTGCAACTCCAGGTTTGTTACTATGGACAGCACTATCATTGCTTCGCATATAGTCATGAACACAGTCGTTGGATCATGTACGATGACAAAACCGTCAAGGTAAAACTAAAATACACTTTGACTTTGCTGTTCCATACACTCTTCCACATTATCTTTTCATTTTATGTTAATCTCTTGTGATGTTAATATATAGGTGATCGGTAGCTGGAGCGATGTACTGTCTATGTGCGAGAGAGGACACTTGCAACCACAGGTTCTTCTCTACGAGAAAAAACGTTAAATCACAAAAAAAGAAGCAAAAAGAAAAACAGACCAAAGTACAGTTTAGGAGATCTCGCAAGTACAAACTGCAAAGGAAGCAAGTACTTTTTTTTTGTCTGAAAATTCGAGCGGAAAGAAAGCGATAGATTTACTTTTTTTTTGTTAAGTGGGAAATATCAGTGGTTATAAGACTTCGGGGTTGGGGAAGAAGATTTTGTCTGAGGTTTAAAGCAAAGCAGTGTTTTCAGTGGAAGAAGAGGTCCTGGGATAGTTTTCTTGGCTAAAGCGTTGTCACATTAAGCATTTATATGTTCATATAAATCTTTACGGCCTTCCAAATAAAGGAAATAAAATCTACAGTCTTTTTTATTTGGTTGGTCTGTCTTATTATGTCTGAACGTTAAAGACTTACAGTTTAAAAGAAGTTACTCTTCAATATTCATATTCTGCTAATCGCTTTACGATTCTTTTTACTATGACTTTTATCATAAAATTCAAACAAATCTAACTAAGAAACCATATGATTCTAAAGAATATCCAAATAACAAATATGATTGGAAGAAAAAGCTAAATAACTTGTTTGATTTTTTAGTTTCGTACAAAGAAATGTAATTCAAATAAACCAAATCTATTCAAAATTCAAAAGTTAGATTCTAATCTAGTATCAAAACAAATAAGATATTCCCGTGGTCTACATATATTATAAGTACAAGAAAACAAGTACTTGAGATCACTATTCTTAGTAAAAACGAACAGACTCAAAATCCCAAATAAAAAACAGTCCCTGAAGATTCGGTTTAGCTTTTTTTAACCTAATAGCAAATCTCTTTTTGCTTAGTCGTCTCCCCCGTACAGCAAAATCCGCTCTATATAACAGACTCCTTTCTTCTCTACCTTTCTCATTTACCATAAACCATTAACACATTTTTTTTATTTTTTTTTCAAAACCATTAACACACACAACACACACAGTCACTCACACACGCACACGCACACACACACACACGTCTCAATCAAAAATCATTTGGCTCTGTTGTCTCTTTACATTTCTTATCGATTTCTGTTTTCCCCATCGAATGAGCCACGTAAAAACCATCCACAATCCCATTGGGTCACTAGAGAGGTTTTTGGATCTTCTCTTGATCTCTCTCATCGTTTACATGACTCTGAAAGGCGGCACGAGTGGGGCGTGTGCCGCTTGCAAATACCAACGCAGACGCTGCGCCGCGGACTGTCCACTCGCGCCCTACTTCCCAGCGGAACAACCGAAACTCTTCCAAAACGTTCACAGGCTGTTCGGGGTCAGAAGCATCGTCAAGATCCTAGAGAACCTGGACGAAGCTCAGAAACCAGAAGCCATGAAATCTATCATTTTCCAGTCTTATGTCCGTGACCGCAACCCTGTCCACGGCTGCTTGGGCATCACGCATCACCTTCAAATGATGATATATCACGCTGAAGAAGAACTCAAAGCCGTAAATTCACAGCTCCAGCTATACCGCCATCAACAAAACAACAATGGTCAGAATCATCATAATCCTCACAATCAGATGATTCACGAGATTGGGGAGAAGCAAGAAGACGTTACCTCACAGCAGCTAGATTTGGGAATGGGACTTCCTGTTAGCAACAACCAGAGCAATGTGACGCCATTTTTTAGTCCTTTGTCGGTTTCTGAAACGCAGCAACAACAGCCTCAAATGTCTTACACTTATAGCTGCAGCGAGGTTAACAACAATGGTTATAGTCCTCCTGCGTATACAGATTCATGCAAGGACATTCTCACCAGGAACCATAACGATCCTGCTTTGGTTTGGGGTGGTCAGAATCGGTTTCCTTATCATTCTAACGACGGATTCATCAACCAAAACGAGAGCTGTAACGAGATGAAGAGCAATAACGGTGTGATGGCGATACAGTCACAGCTCGTTAATCTTCAGATGGCATCGAATCAGCAAGAGGAAGAAGATGATGTTCACGAGTACGATGAAATCCATCAGTTCCTCGAAATCATCGATGACAGGCAATCATTCGCGGATTCTAAAGAAGCGTACGCATCAAGGTAGGTCTTTTCTGCACATTTTATTTGTACGGATTGTTTTGCTAATTTTATTTGTACGGTTAAAAAAATATATATAAGAAACTTGGGGGGAAAATCTTTAAATCTGTTTTTTAATTTTAATTTTTTTTTGGGTGGTTGCAGCTCGGGTGAATCGTTGAAGGAGCCAATAGATGAGATCGGAGAGAACGAATTAAGAAGTGCGGCTACTTGCTTCAGTCTGACCAGTGTGAATTGATTCTCAATCGTGATCATGAGGTGGTCTTAAGGGAAGAAGAAGAATTTTGCCATTTTCACACGTTTTATTCAAATTTTGATTCTGAGTTTTTTTTGTTTTTTTTGATTAATCCTGAAAACGTAGACATTTTTATATTCTATTTTTTCTTAATCCTTATCTTTTGTTTTGTTTCTAATAAAGAGCTGGATCTTATAGTAGAAGCTAGATTGTGTTTAACTAGAATCTTCAGTTTTTGTTACCAGAAGAATAATAATGTTTTGTCTCGATCGCTTAACCTACCTTGCAACTTGGGTTAGTACCTTTGGAGTCAAGGAACAGTTTGATCTAAGATAAATATATTGTTAATCCGCATAAGGTAGTGGATTTTGTCTTGGCTGAAGAGAATGATTGTATAAATGTAGTAACAACAATGAATCTGAGAATATTTGAGCGTCAGGATGGTATTTCTAATCACACATTTCCAGGTTCTTGGTTAAGTGGCTTTTCCAAATGCAACTATGATGCAGCTTTTGACAATAACACTAAGGAAATAGCTTATGGATGATGGGTTGATTGTGATCATTATAGGTCTTTCAAGGTACAGTAGTAGTTATGAGTTTAAAATTGTTAACGTTTTGTTTTATGCAGACGGAAATCTGAAGCATATACGTTTTATATAATGGGATAAAGATCATATATTTCACATATTTTATGATAATGATGAAACTAATAGATCTTCTTTAAATATGGTCTGTAAATTGCTACTAAAATTGTAAGAATCCCTTTTTAATTCCAGAATAATTTAATTAATGATTTTTAAAAAACCTCTTCTTGATTTTCTAGCAAGACCGTACTTTAAAAATCTCTTTTTAATAAAGGTTTTCTTGTTTTTTTAGCAATACCGTACTTGAAAAGGATTTTAAAAATCTCTTAAATTTTTCTGTTAATATTACCCCTTTTTTTGGTCTCTTGTTTGATTTTGAAATTGAACTGTTTTCTAATAAGTTAAGTAAGTTACATTTTTTTAATATCTTGATCTTTTACGATAATATTTCTTTGAAATGTCGATTTTCAAAAATTTATTAAAAAAATATAATTCACCAATAACATGGCGTTAAAAATGTTACACCTCCAATAAAATCATAAACATATTTCCTGTGGACCCCTCCAACAGAAGATAGAGATTTTTTTGTGGGTCCCTTTCGAACCAGAGACTTGTTAAAAACGACAGCGTCTTCGCTGGACAAAAAATCTGTGTGTCAAGCAAACAAACAATATCATCTCACCTTTCAAGAAAAAAAATCAGTGGCGACCAAGAGAAAATGGTAAGTATCATAACTGGCCTATCAAGACCAGTTTGCTTCTCTCCACCTGCTACGACAAGGTAGAGATCTTTTCACTGATCCCAGATTAGAATCGATAGTAGATCTATTTTTTTTCTGACACAATCAAAATGCTGCTGTTCTTCCAGAGAGTTTCTAAAGAAGCCCAAGTTAAAATGTTCCTTGGAGAATCCAATCGAAATCCAAACTTTGAGGAAGCGTTGTGTTTCAAGTTTTGCTGCCATTTTGCTTCTCTCTCAGGCAGGCCAGGTATGCTTGAGCCGACATTGCCAAATATCTAATTGCATCCAAAAAACCCCTTTTGAATTCCTGAGCTTCCTTGTATTCTTGCAGGGTCTTGCGTCAGATCTCTCATCTGGTCATCAGAACATTTGCCAACTTGGGAGTGCTGCTGCTGCTGCTGTAGAACAAAACAAACCGACTCTCCCACTTGAGAATGCCTCTGATGCTGACAACCCGGAAACGATGATGATGATGATGACGAGAGGCATGACTACTAAGAACTTCGATCCAGTTAGATACTCTGGAAGATGGTTTGAAGTTGCTTCTCTTAAGCGTGGTTTCGCCGGTCAAGGCCAAGAAGATTGCCATTGCACTCAGGTATATCTATATATTGTTTCTTTAACTCCAATGTGAACATCTTTGATATGTATATTGAGAAATTCTGTTTTCACTCGTTGCAGGGCGTATACTCGTTTGACATGAAGGAGCCAGCCATCAGGGTTGATACGTTCTGTGTTCACGGAAGCCCTGATGGGTATATAACAGGAATCAGAGGCAAAGTTCAATGCTTGGCAGCAGAGGATCTTGAGAAAAACGAGACTGACTTGGAGAAGAGAGAGATGATTAAGGAGAAGTGTTTTCTTAGATTTCCAACGATACCTTTTATTCCAAAGTTGCCTTATGATGTCATAGCAACAGACTACGACAACTATGCTCTTGTTTCTGGTGCCAAAGACAAAGGCTTTGTTCAGGTGATTTCAACAGAACAAGAACAACTTTCATTGGACTTTGAATATCTTATCTGTTGCATTCTCTTATGTTAAACTTTATATGTCAGATATATTCAAGGACACCAAACCCTGGACCTGAGTTTATTGCCAAGTACAAGGACTATTTGGCAACATTTGGCTATGATCCGGAGAAGATAAAGGACACTCCACAGGACTGTGAAGTAATGTCTGATGGTCAATTAGCTGCTATGATGTCTATGCCAGGTATGGAGCAAACGCTGACAAACCAGTTTCCAGATCTTGGATTGAGAAAGTCTGTCCAGTTTGATCCTTTCACAAGTGTGTTTGAGACCTTGAAGAAACTTGTCCCTCTCTATTTCAAATAGTAGACCAGCTTCTTTTTTACTCGCAACTCTTGTGTAGATTATTACCAATGTCAATATGCTTATACAGTTTTCCCAACTGAGTGTATATACATGTTTCAGAATCAAGCATTTGCTTTCAAGTTTCAAATGTTTCTCTCTGCTAAGCCTGTGTTGTTACTAAGGATTACTCTGCAATGTCGTTAGGATTGTTGTAGTTTACAAAGCTTCTATGGTCTGTCACTGTGATTGAGCATGAGTTGTGAATCTTCCTATGCCTAAAGAAGACGCCACCCAGCTTTTCTCTTTATTTAGCTCAGTTTAGTATTTTTGGTAAACTCTCTAGTATGATTAGAAGCACAATATAAGCCACATATATGGATAAGATATTGATCAAAATAACAAAGCAACAGTCCGAAGAACATTCTTGCACGTGTAAGAGAAAAAATCTTGACAAGGAAAATATAGAAAGATTGAATGTGAATGAAGGATTGACAAGAGGATCCATTGATCTGCTAAGAGGCAAAAACTGGGCCGACTTTTTCAATACTCAGCTCGATTACCTCTCAGTCGGTTTAGTTTCTAAAGTCCCACATCGCTAATACAGGATTCGTTCGCTCAAAGACGACGCATATAAAAACTGCCCTTCACCTTCTATTCAATTCATACCTTTCTCGGCCTTTTGGCTAAGATCAAGTGTAGTATCTGTTCTTATCAGTTTAATATCTGATATGCGGCCCATTGGGTTTCGCTCGATATTAACTTAATTTTTTATTGGGGGAGAGTCTTCCACATCGGCTTGCTGATTGGACTCTCACGTGTCGCCCTCGTCTTGCACTATTGCGAGGGCCTGGCACACCTCACCAATTACTAGTTCAACTTTTTGGTTACACAAAGTCACAAATTGCCGTTACTAACCAAATCAAAGAGGAAAGCACTGACTAGCTTTACCAATAGTTAAATGTCGTGATAGATAGCTAAACCGAGCAATAACTGAGACTGAACTAGATTTCATCATAACCAAAAGCGCGACATACACCTAGTTTTAATCAAACCGAACCATAAAAACAAAGCTAAATGCCTAAATCTAACAAAATAATGTAGCCTAGAAAAGTAGAAAACCAGCCAAGTGGGCTTTTAAACACATATTTGTGGGCTTGCAGCTGCAAAAAAACCGTCGTTTGTGGATACTTAAAACGGCACACGTTTCTCATCTCCCAGAGCAAAACGTTATGCAAGTCAGAAATCCCATCGTCATCTCATATGATAGACGTTTGCCGAACGAAACGGCGAATTCGACGAACGGAACCCCAGAAAACGATGGTGGCGATATCCATGTACAGAGGCAACCTCCACAAAGTTCCCGACGTGCCTCGCCGATGGAGAATGCCGGACCGTAATCTCTCTTTCAAGGACTTCAAATCTCTCCTCCATCGCCGTAAACGAGCTCTTTCTCGTCTCTCTCCTTATTCCAACCCTAACCTGAGCCGTAACGTCAAGTCTGAGCTGATTACCGAACTGCAAGATGCAATTCGATCTGAAAGGCCCGGTTCGTCTGGGAAGCAGAAGCTCGTTGAGGTGAAGAGAGAGGAGATTGGTGGGAATCGGGTTAGGGGAGATGAGAATGGCAGATGTGATGGTTTTGAAGGAGCTCGAGCAGGAGGATCGGACGGTGGAGATCGTCCCGGGAGTGTGATGGAATTGCTATCGAAGAAGGAAACTGATAATGTGCCACACGAAGATCCGGCGAACGAGAAGGCGGAGGTATGTTTATACTTCTTTGATTTTAACCTCTTTTGAGATATTCCGAATGGAATTTGAGTTCGAATTAGCTGAATTGAAACTCGAATCACCATGCTCACTGAGAAAATTTTGATAATTTCGGTGAAGTACATAGGAAGGTTGTGATAGTTTCGTCAATTTTTAGCCTTTTAGGTGAATTTATCAAGTAGCTGATTAGATAATACTTTGTCATGTGCCCTCATGTAGATTAAGTTGCAATTGATGCATTGAGTCTATAGATGAAACAATCAGCCGTAATAAAGTTGCCAATTTGGCTAACATGAGCTCGTAAATTTGTTAGATTTCTGTGAGATTGTTTCGTTTTGTTACCTTAGATGACACCAATAAGTGAAGTCCTTATCATCTAGCTTGATTTTCTTTGAACAGGCAAAGGAAATAGCTGAAGAAGTACCAAGCGAAATAGAGAAGAAACAGAAAGAAGTGGAGGAGCGATTACAAGTTTTGAACGCAAAGAAACACAATCTAGTCCAAGTGCTTAAGCAGGTTCGTCCATTGACTCTTCTAATCTCTATAGTAGTATTTCCATTTATCAAAGTATTCATACTTGTCAAACTAAACGGATACACAGATTTTGAATGCTGAGGAAGAATTGAAAAGGCGCAGCATCGTGCAGCAACAAGGAACAACAGCGACTCGACCTTCCCTTCCACTCCATGTGGATGTCTCTAATGATTCAGGAGGTAATCCTGGTGCTCATATGGAAGGTGGAGAAACAGATGACGCAGCGAATCATACCAATGCTCAAACTCGCACTGTTCTTCGACTATGTGGTGCTTCTTCCTCATCTGAATCTCCTCTGAGAAGAGCAGCGGCCATTTCGCAACACAATATGGTAAATGCTCAATGCTCATTGTATATACACGATGGAAACGAACTGTTATAAGTGTATAACATGCTTGGAATCTCGTTGTTTCTGTTTGTCAGGTTCCACATCCTTCTCGATGGAGCTCACGCGTTGGTCCGTCTCAACCCGGGACTGCTTCTGCTTCAGGAACAAACTACATTGCGTCTTCTCCTTCACCAGTTGGTTCTGGTGGCACTTCTGTTTTCAGAGAATCACGGCTTCAGAGTCCATGGAATTAGCCAGCTTCTCCTCTATTGCTTTCTGTTATTTGCACTAACTAGTAACTATACCTCTCTGTGTTCTTTGTCATTTTGTAGCTGTGAACAAAAAAAAACTAATGTGAAATGAATGACAGAAGATGTGTTAATATCAATTGATGTATAAATATCATGTTTCAGAGTCATCCAATATCTTATTAGTGTACTTTGATTCTCTTGTAACTATTATCTCAAGTTTAGGTTCCAATGAAAAGAAACAAAAAAATCTGGATTCCAAAACCAATAAATATACGGTTCGGTCTGATTGAATTAACTTGGAAACAATAACCAAAAATTCCAAACCATACCAATTCGGATAAACCGAATAAGCGGCGGAGTTGAAAAAGAAGAGAAGACTGCACTTTGATTTCTCGACGCCGCCGAGAGAGAGAGAGAGAGAGATGGGGATAGTAGCTAAAGTTGGAGATTTGTCGTTCAAGGCTTTCACGGCGGGGCTAGGGATCGCCACCATCTACCTCACCGGCACCTTCTCCTTTAATGTCTACCGTGGCCTCTCTTGGCACAACGCTCAATCTGTATGTTCTTCTCTCTTCGCTCTCCATCTCTTACACGTATCCAGCAGAAATGATCTAATAATTTGAACAAGCTCTGATTTGACTGCTGAGATTCCAAATTCTGTGCATGCGTTCCTGAGAGTTTTATACTGTTTGTTTCGAGTATCAGTTGCTAGTTCTGATTTTGATGGAAATTAGACCTAATTAGTGATTGGTTCTTGTCTGATAAACAACGTTTTTTGCACTGATAGAGTATATCTCCGCGTCTTGCTATGATGATTGGGAATTTTCTGATGATTGATTATGTTGTATCAATCTGAATCACTTGGTCAGTCCTAAAAAAATGATGATATTTCTGGGATTTAGAGATTACTGGTTTGGTTCAGATCAAATACCCTAGAACAACTGTGATGAGGTGTTTATCTTTCTAGCAGCAAGATCTTATCCTAGATTTGTGTTTGTAGGAAACTTAGCGTTGGTCTCTTAGATAACTGGAACGGAACTAGTCCACCTTTTATTCAACTGTTATTTATGTAATAGATGCTAAGCTCACACTGCAGATTTGATATGATTGATGTAGGAGCATGATAAGATATGAAGCAGTGTACACTCTACTTCTCTTATGCAATTTAGCAAACCAGAAAGACTCTCAACCAAAACCCTAACCAAACTCTATAAATATCCGCAGACTAAACAATCTCCTGCGGACACACTTATAACCTTAGTCCTCACTAGCTTCTTTCTAACGGACTACAACCTTTGCGCTATGCTATATTCACTCATAGGCAAGGACCGCTAGGTATAGTAGACCTGTAGCTAAGAGTTAACAGATCAACTAAATCTTCACATTCTTGTCTACTGTGTCTTGGCTTAACAGAGAAATTGTGTGCATTAGGTTGCTAAGGTTGTTGTCATGGCTAATATTCATTCATCTTATGCAGTTTCTTGGATGAGGATATAACCTACATTAGTACCAAAGGGTTAAATACTTTTTTTCCTCAATCTTCAGAACCGTTTTGGACGAACTCACTCGATGTTCATGTTTCTGTACCTTAATGATGCCAATATTAAGAGATTTCTCAACTTGTAGATGAGATTTCTTGTAACGATTCATGGTTTCGCTTTCACCTTTTATCACTTGATCTTTCGTTTTTGTAGACTTCACTTACTTTGTGACATTGTGTTATGTCCGTCTGGACTATAATATACATACACCTCTGTTAATGTCTGTCTTGTCCAAAGCTAGAGCCATTTTGTAACGTTTTATGTATCTTACTAAGAGATCCTGTTTCTTTTTTCCTTGTAGAAGCTGGATTTAGAGCAATCCGAAGAACAAACCGAATGATCCGATTTCAGCTGCCCTATCCCTCAAGTAGCAGATGCTTCCGTGAATCTTTGCGAATGTTTTCTTTCCGTAAACTTGGTATATCTTTGTTTCGATACTAGGAGCAACTAAATAAATGAAATTCTTTTGTTTGATAAATTCATTAAACTTTGTAATATGATTCTAAAACTTCCATAATACCAAAGGAGCCAACTTTTCCTATACTTACATTATATTACAGACAAGCTGTTAGAATCTGTGAATCAAGCAAGATAACATAAGTGCGATGGTCTTCTTTGGTTTTTAGTTCCATTGAAATACTCACAAGTCACAACTGCTCTTGCTTCTTAGGTGTGTATATAATATGTCAATCAAAATTCAAAATATAACATATGAGTGACTAAAGGTTTAGACAACGCCCTTGATGAATCTTGCAACGATCTAAGAGCTCGAGACATACGAGTCCGTATGGGTTTCTCAAAGCATAGTTGCATGATTCCATTTTATAGCGATTTGGTTTTCTTGAAAACAAATACAAGGTCTTTCTTGTCAAACAACAAAAACACCAAATCATTTTCGTCTCTTCACTTTATTCAGATGGTTGAGCAATAGCCAACATGAGTAACAACAACGTGAATTTCTGAGATTGCTAAAAGGGAAGATGGATTATAGAAAAGCATAAAAAGAGACTCATGATCTTCCTCATGCAGCCTGAGCTTCCTTTCTCATCACTGCTCTCGCATAGATCTCATAGCAGCATCCTGAAATAAACACACATAAGAAAGGATATGTCATCAAACCTTAAAACCATGTGAGCCACACACTACGAAGTACTAACTGGTAGTTACATATCAGAAAAGTTGGTGTACTGAGTTCTTAGTTTCTCATTCAGAGATATGATAACATTAACTCAATACAGATTTCATCGGCGACACAGTACCGTACCATCTAAAGGATGTAAAATCGCAGCTAGTATGTTATCTACTTATCAACTTCCTTCCATTGTTCACATGAAAATATGATCAGACAATGGGAAACAAATGAGGTAAACCACAAGGGCATCTTGAGAATGCCAAGGATATTTCTATCCGCAGCTATTGTGAAAAAAACAGTGAATCAGTGACTACTAAATTCAGATTCATCCTAAATGTTGATTTCACAAGAAGAAAAAGAAGTTATGAACCATTTCTTCCCATACCAGCAATAACGACAACAGTGAGCACATCTCCAATCTTTCTCAATCGGTGCACTCCTTTCTTGTGCGACTTGAATCTACTCAGAGCACCATCCTCAGCCAATAGCTGCAACAAGACAACCATGAATCTCAAAGAGACTATCCCCAAAAAAAAAACAATCTTTCAAACAAGAGCCTTCATTTCCCTTTGCCTCACTAAATCTAGATTCAGAATTTTTGGATGCAATTAAACTATTTTCAAATTACTATCCCGACATAGAAGGATCCTCTCAAACGAAATTTCAAAATGAATTTCAAATTACTATCCCATTTCTGAACAATCCAATCTGACCGAACCGATCCACGATCCCTACGCTAGAACAGAGATAAATTTTAAGAGATACTTACAGCTTTCTCGCGAGCTCCTAGCTCGACATGGAATCCACGACGGGTTTGAGCAAAGGCACCATCCGTCTTCTGCAGAAAAAAAAAAATCAAATACATCACAAGAATCGAAACGTATCCGTGATGAGATTCGATCCCAAGAAAAAAAACCTGGGAAGAAGATCGGAGGTGAGATGAAATCGAGTTGTTGTTGAGCAAAAACGCCATCTCCCGATGAGGATCAAGGATTTACGAAACGATTGATGAAGACAAACGCGCAGGAGTAAAAAAGCTTTTCAATAATATGTGGATTAAAATTGTAATTTTAAGTGTTTCGCTTTTTGCTCCAAACCTAAAGCATTATTCCATTTTGACCCCGAAGTTACTTTATTTGACACTAGTGGACGTAATGTTATGTACTTGCCAATTTGATGCCAAGCGTAACAATATATTGAAATTATTACTACACGAAAAGATTTTTAAATTTACTATTCTTAGCAATCAGACAAAATTGTGTCATTAATATTGGTTACTACAGTTCTGATTAAAACTATTAAAAGCAACAAGTGAAGGAAGGAATTAGGCCCATTTATTTTTTATTACGATTGTATATCTTTAAGTGTATACGCATGTTATAGATTTAAACAGATTTTATTTACAATTATTTTAGGGTCAATTTGCGAAATAATTATATTGAGCACAATAATTAAGAATATAGCAATAGCAAAAACAAAAAAAAAGAACTAACCATAGCCAAACTTTCTACCCTATATTACCCTTGAGACAATACTGTATAGAACAAAATAGTATAGTTTATTTCATTTTAAACCAAAAATTTGAAATCCTAAACCCCAAATATTAAAAATCCAAACAATAAATCCATAATCTAAACCCTAAATAAAAAAATATAAACCCTTAAACCAAGAAATAAATCATTAACCCAAAATCTAAACCCTAACCTCAAAATCTTAACCCTAATCTCAAAATCTTAACCCTAAACCCAAAAAGCTAAACCCTAAATTCAAAAGTATAAATCCTAAACCCAAAATTTAAATTATAACCCCTAAATCCAAAACCCAAAAATATAACACTAAACCCAAAATCCAATCTAAACCCAAAAATCAAAACCCTAAACTTAAAAATCTAAACCCTAATATAAGAAAACATTTTGTACTATTCTGCAGAGGTAAAAAAAATAGTATAGCATTAATTTCCAATAAAAATGACAAGGCCAAATGGGTATTATTATATAAATTACAGCTTGTATTCTAGCCAAGACATTCTAATGGTTAGTTTCTTAAATCATGTTCTCAATATAATTATTGATTATAATTTCCCAAAATTTTATTTAGGAATGATTAATAAACAGATCTGTATTTATATTTAAGAAAAAAAAATGCAATAAACACAAATACATAAAATTACCATGTATGATATGTATGACCCACCTACGAATATTTTTCTTATAATAGTCATATGCAAATGAAAGTTGGTCACGTACACGCACAAATTCGATGATCCACCTACTATTTTTAATTTTAGGATGAACTTACATCTTATACATCGTAATTTTGCAATAATATATGTGATGATCAATTTATTAGCTCGTCATCATGCTATAAATAAATATCCTTCCCTTATCTATCCCTTCACCTCAACTTGTTTTCTTAAACTTTCAACTTCAAATCATTTAAAGAAAAAATGACAAAGCATATTTTCATATTTTTCTTCATGCTTCTCAATGTGTGGGGGTTTGAATACCAAGAACAGGAGTTAAAGAGCGATAAAGGCTTACAAATGCTTTACAATCGGTGGATGATCCACCATGATGTGCAAGTCGAGCAAGGAATGAAGAAATTCCATGTATTTAAAGAAAATGCAATCCATGTCCTAACCGCTAACAATGTCACAAGATCCTACAAATTGAAGCTCAACATGTTTGCCAATTTGACGGCCTCTGAGTTCTTTGACATGTTCATATGTATCGAACTGAAAAATATGATTGCCCCCTCCGCTAAGCAGTCTATTTACGAGAATGATGAGGTTCAGTCCCCTGTGTCGGTTGATTGGAGACAGATGGGAGCTGTCACTGAGGTCAAAACGCAAGGGGATTGTGGTAAGTCTAAAAATATTAGTTTTGATGAACTTCTCTTTTTTGTTTATAACTGGTAAAAGAAAGTAAAGTTGATAAATATCATTATGAAGTCCTCTTTCAGTTCTTAAAGCTACCTATACGTTCAATTTGCTTTCAATTCCTATATTAATTAGTTTGCTTGGGGGGGGGGGGGGGGGGGGAAGAAATAACTGTTTCTATGGATTAATGGGCGACAAAAGGCGTAGATTACCACTACTTACGAGTTACGATCACACCATTAGTTTCTCATTTAATTTACAAAAGGACGAAAATAATTAATTGTTGTATAAATATATACTATATACCATCATTGATCTTTGATGATGAGTCAAAGTAAAAATCAAATCTCTGCTGTCCTAAATATCTGAAATTTGCTAAATAAAATATAGGAAGTTGTTGGGCTTTGGCTACGGTGGCAGCTGTTGAGGGAATCAACTACATCAGGACAAATGAGTTGGTATCCTTGTCAGCACAAGAATTAATTGACTGTGATACTGAGAATTTTGGTTGTGGAGGAGGTTCCAGGAGACGCGCATTTGAATATATCATGAAGAATGGTGTGACCACGGAGGCCAACTACCCCTACAAAGCTGTTACGGGAGAATGCGACCCCTCAAAGTCAAAAGGTATCAAAGTAACAATCAACACATACGGATACGTCCGTCGGAACGACGAGGCAGCACTTCTGAAAACGGTCGCAAGCCAACCGGTAACGGTCGGACTCGATACTTCCCTCTTCCAATTCTACTCTAAGGTAAAAACACCAATCATTCAAGCCAACACTCTGTATAATGTTTTTTTGGGTTGAATAAATTTAACATTCGTTAAAAAAAAAAAAAGTACCAATCATATACATGATCTGATTTTTTTAATGTTCCAAATTTCTAACTATACATACATCATTATAACATATTGCAGGGAATATTAACGGGACACTGTGAAACGGGAATCTCCCACTCCATGCTTGTGGTCGGATATGGTACTGAACCGGATGGTACAAAGTATTGGATCGTCAAGAACTCTTGGAGTCCCGAATGGGGAGAGAGTGGCTACGTCAGGATCGAGCGAGGGATCGCGGATCCGAAAGGCCGCTGCGGAATTGCAATGAACCCTGTGTACCCGGTCAAGTTCCCAGTCCGCTAAACCGAGTGTCCCGACCTATAAAATGATCTCGTTGATCTTAAAACTTATATCAATATTAGGAGGTGTTATTGGATTGTGTTGTGCGTTTTACTGGATTTGGATGTGTTTTTGTTGGGTTTTAACTAATTCACACAATCCATGATGGGTTTTGATTGTGTCATCGTATGTAACCGTTTCTAGTGAATAAAGAATTATGTTATGAATAATAATAATAATAATAATGTTATATAAAATATATCAAAATGCAAAATAAAATACTATCTCCAATGTAGTATTTTATTTTATTTTTTCCACCATTTTACTGCTCCCTTATAATGATGTTGTGTTTTCTCCGATGTATTTTCTTATTTTTAACACTAAAAAGGAATATTCTATGTATATTCTAAATCTAAATTTATTACAAAGACTTTTTTTATTTATTATCACAAACACAATCGTAGACATAACCGATCAGCTTTAAATCTTTAGAACTATTAAAAAAAATGATAAACTAAATACTGAATATTATTGTTATCAATTAAATTTATTTTGCTGTAATATTCCATAAATATATTATTTGTTCAAGATTGTAATTTTTATTACTCGATGAAGATATTTCTTATTAAATATTTCACTTTAAATATTTATATTTACTCTTAAAATATGAAAATTTTTCTTTATTTTTAAGACTTTAAGTGTGAATTTTTTATTTTAAAAGTATGGCTGTAGAACCTGTGACTTTTAGAATGAAAAATTGTGGCTTTAGAAAATATTAAAAGCCATGTTTTCTGCTTTTTATAAAAACTCAACTATTGTGAAGGAAAAACTTTTTAAAAAATGACTTTGAGAATTTTTAGGATGAAGTTAAAGACTTTCAAAATTTTAAAACTTCTATAGTTTGATTGGGTATTTATGGCTTCTAAGACTTTAATTTTTTCCTAAAACCTCCAAAACTTGAAAAGCCAAATTGCAATGAGTACCTAAATCAAATAAAATAATTAGAAAAAACTTCCAAAAGCTGTGGACTCACGTCAACATGCTCTTTTAATGCTGTAGGATAAGTACAAATCTGTACTAATTTTCTCAATTATTAATTTAACTTATTTGTTGTTTAGTGGGGTTTGAGTCAAATATTTATTTCGTTGAAACTTGATAAACACAAGAAGAGAAGAAGATGGAAGTTTCGGAACCAATCGAAACCATGTCAGAGATAACCCAGATCCCTGTCGCAGAAACTATCACCTGCTTTACAGATGGAGCTTGTCAAGCAGCTTCTGGAGTCGCTGGTGCAGGCTGGATGTTCATTGATAGCAATGGCGAAGAGCTCGGAGGTGGATACGGTGCAGAACGAGATGTTCTTTCTCCAATCACGACAGAGGCTTTGGCAATCAAATCGGCTCTTCATAACGCCTTTGATCTCGGTTACGCCAACCTTCAAATCAAATCAGACGCTCATGATCTCATCGGAGCAATAACAAGGCAAGAGCAAATCAAGGAGATCGATGGTCTCCTCAACGACATCAACACTCTAGCATCTATGTTCACCTCTATCTCCTTCAGTTTCATCCCTAGATCCGAAAACACGGTACCTGAAATCTTCACTTTCCCTCTGCTTTTGTTTCTCCTTTTTTCTTAACCCTAACTATATTTTTTTTTTTAATTGAAAGCTTGCTAAAAAGAAGAACATGGAAGATATCATTACTGGTGGTTGGGGTCCCATCAAAGACATTAAGGACCCTGGCGTTGATGTCATCGCCAACTTCGCTGTCTCCGAGTTCAATAAACACAACAACTCGAAAGTAAAGTTTCATACTGTTGTTTCCGGCGAATTTCAACATGTCCAAGGCGTTAATTTCCGGCTAGTGCTCGATGTTAGTGATGAAGAAGACGGTGGTTGCAAGACCTACGAGGCGCAGGTACACGAGCAGGCCTGGCTCGATTCCATGGTTCTTAAATACTTTAAACCCGTCAATTAATCAATGCTCGCTCTTGTTCACTTTTATGCATGAACTTTTCAACTCAATCACTGTCTTTCTCTCTATATCATCTGGCTTTTGTTGAGTTTCGAATGGCTTCTTGTAAGACATTTCTGGAAATATATAAAATATATAACATGCGTATATTCTCCGGCTAAACCAGAAAAAAAAAAACAATCACTGATTCACCAAACCAAAATAAACGAGTTATAAACTTATAATCCTGGTTATCTAGACTAAACCAGAAAACATCAGAAGAGGACAATCATCAGAGGACGCTACTTTAGCTTTTGGTTTAGCAACACTCTTCTTGCAGTTGCTGCAGAGCTTACCATGCGTGTATAACAGACAGTTCAGATCAAACTTGAGCTCATCGGGGATCCTGCGGTTGAGATGAACGTAGGTTTTGTTCCTGTCTGCTGTTTTCGGGACCCAACCTAATGCCTTTGCGATCTCAAATACCTGTTTCAGTCGGTTTTGCATCTCATTTTTAATCCGCTTGATCCAAAGAAATGAACAAATATCAAACACAAGGATTACGGAAACACTCACATGCGTGTCCACCGGAAAATCGTCGTGCTGGAGATTGAACATGAGAACACAAGAAATCTGTCAATCATCGATACCAGATCTTATGTCAATGTCCAGTGATGTTCATCTTGATTCTTATTGTCACATTGATAGGACCATTAAACATATGAACAACAGTAGCTATTTTTCCAAGTGATAAGAGACGATCCAAAAAGAAAATCAGGGTTTTACCGTTTTAGGTCCTATGCCTTTAAAATGGGAGAGCTCGGTTTTTACTTCTTCTACCGATAAACCACGAAGATACTCCAAGCACAATCTACCTCTTTCCTTCTGCAAACGGTTCAATATGTTCTTGATGCACACAGCCTTTTTAGGGGCCAATCCTCCACATCTTATAGCATTCTCAATTAACTTCGACTCAGCGGCTAGAACCTACAGTGGATGCAACAAAAGAAGACTCTTCAAGATGACAAACAAGCAAACAAAGAGAATGGATTTTAAGTGACTGTAAGAACATTAACTACAAAATTCAATAAGGAAATGAAACCAAGTATAAGTCAATCTTGACTCTGAATAGCAAATACAAATCTAGTGACCAACACAATTTTTGTTTTTGCCATTAAATTATGTCAAGATGCATTTTCTTGAAACGTTTCAACAAATCTTGAGGAGAACTAAGCTTACAGAGTTACAGATTTTCCAAATTATCCAAGAACATGCTTTAATGCTTTAAACTGAAACCAGGACAAAATCTAAAGAAACTATGTATATATATGCCTTAACCAGAAATTGAAAATGAAGTTTAGCATTCTTTAACTTAAGCCATTATCATATCAACATCAGGAATTATGATTTCACAAAGCCTTAACCTTATGAATTATGATTCACAAATCTTCATGGACCTTATAGACCAATTAAACCTAAGGATTCAACTATCCACTTACATCTTCCCATATCGGAAATGCAGCTTTGAGAGAAGCGAAAGCCCTTTGGGAATTGGCCTCAGTTGTATTCTGTGAGAGAAGAATTTTAACCAGACCATCAAGCACGCTCTCCACTTTCTCATCCTTCTCCTCCGCCGATTCATTCAATGTCTCAACTTTCACCGTGCATTGTGTATCGTGACAATCTACGGCGGAGTTTGATCTAAGTCTCTGACGGCGGTAACTGGCGAACTCAGAAGGGAACCCATGGAGAGACAACAAAGCATCCCTTACATCTCGACATTCTTCAGCAGTAGGTCTAAGAAGTGCGGGGTATGGATCGCCGTCGTCGACGGTGGATTTATTGGCCGGAGCTTTTGAGTCGCCGTCGCCTTTGTGTAGGCGTTTCCTTTTCTGGGCTTTGCTCATCTCGTAAGGAAATTACTGACCGGTGCAATATTTGGATCGGTTTACGGTTTTGTTTTGAATCGATTACAAAATTTAGTGGAAATTAGGTCCGGTTTTCTTAAAACGCAACGCAATGGGTCGATGGATAGTGGTCGTGGTCCGGTTTACTATAAGTAGTGAATGTTGTGTGTTGTGTAAAAATTAGGTCCGGTTTTGCAGCAATCGTTTTATTTAAATAAATAAATAACATAATACACAATTGTAAAATACAAAAATCAATCAATTAAACCAATGCAAAAAATGATAATTATCCAGTCCGGAAATGGTTTGACTTCAAGTAATATATGGTTTCTAAATTTCACAGGAGGTATTTTTATTGTTACTTAAAAAAAAAGTGGAAAAAGTGTTACTAATTACTTAGGGAATGATTGGTTCTCCCGCTACCACCCGCAAACGCAGCGTTTGCGGTTCGTAGCGGTTTTCGGCGGTTTATAACAATCACGACAACCGCTTTGAATCGCTCTATACCACTCTGTACCGCTCAATACCGCTGAAAATCAAAAGCTCCTTTCCGCAAGCGTTTGCGGTTGCGGGTGGATAATAAAAAAAAAAAAAAAAACACAAACTTATATAAAATCCGAAAATAAATAATAATATTTATTAAAAAATAAGATTTGGATAATAAAATCACAATATAAATAAAAAATTAGTACTTTTAGTCAATATTCATTAAAATCATATAATACTTATATATTTATAAGCTCTACAAATCAAAATTCTCATGATAAATATTCTTTCATACTAATACATATATATCTAATAAATAAAATTGTAATATAAATTTAAATTTCACATTAAATATATATTTTGAAAATAAAATCACATTTTTTATTTAAATTATAGAAATTAAAAGATAGATGTAAGTATTATACACATATTATTCTTTATATATATTTTTAATTATGTTGAACCATAAATTTAAAATTTTCATTATAATATAGTTTTGATATTTTTATAATTATATAATGTGTTTATATTATTAATTTATTGTTTAACCGCTATTGCATCCGCAAGTGAACCAGTCATAAGTAACCCGCAAACGCATCATTTTCAATTGTTATGCCAGTCGTACAAACCGCTTAATAACGCTACTAATCACAACCGCCCGCTTCCGCAAACTCCGCACCCGCAACCGCAACCGCAGCGGTTAAACCAGTCAGGCCCTTAGAACATCTCCAGTTGAAGTATATTTCAATGGAGTTCTCAACCATAAAATAAGAAAGAAAAGTCTACAAGTATGAGAACACTCCTATCCCATAATTATCATCCTTTAATTGGCTCATTTTCTTGTAGTATATTAAAATCTA